TATATAGGAATTGGTACTATTCTGTTATGAAATAATTGTTTGCTCGGATGCCGCCAACCCGTATAGAAATTCAGTTCTAAAGAAGATTTAGTGTTTAGTCAGCACTACAACGTTTTCAGGTTATTTCTGAAAAAAACAGGCCATGGCATCGTAAGCATTTCATCTACTGAAGATATAATACATTTGAATATTTTCTTTCTTAGTACGTGACTTTTAGGAGCCCTTTTAACGGTGGACCGTGAATCTGAATAGCCTGAATCAAATGGGACCCACTTAAGGCGTCATTGAATCGTACTTATTTGACAGAATGCCATATACAAAGGACTGCTTATTGTAATTCCTACAATTTCATTTAGAATTAATTCCCCATTGTTATGACCCGATTTATTACTTTGTATTCCAGTCCTTAAATTGTTAAATTACAAACTATGCCTAGCAACATTCGTTTGAAAGAGAATGAAATTAATCATCTTAAGTCACATAAAGGGCTTTAAAAACTGATAATGAAGCTTTTCCCACAACAAAATGAGTAGGCCTCACAATAGGACGGATTTTCGCTTAGCATTGCCTCCTATAATGCCTTTTTATCAAGGGTGGGATGTAGTTTATACCTCTTTAGATCTTATAATTGGCCCCAATTTGACCCGAAACCGAGTCGTATGCATCGTGGCGACAAGGTGAATACTCATAATGAATATAAGTGGCTTCGTCTATTATAATGATAAAGGCAAGTTTTTTTCATCAATAATCCCACCTAACTTGCATTAAAAGTCACTTCTTATCTGTCACCTGCTTACATCAATCTTTATTTGGCTGAGTGCAAATTTGTTTACACTTTGTGTGCACGACCCCTGTTGACAGGGTTAATGAGACCCTAATTGAGCAAACCTTATATAAGTCGATACTTATTGAATTTCGATCCTATCGTAAGGTTATAAATCGCTCTAAGTGACACAGAGGAACTAAAGTTTTCATTCAAGAATTACAATAAGAGCTGTAATTACTCTATTTTGACGTGATGAACAACTGGTACTTCAATTTTTCCACATACAGCACTTATATAAGATATTCTGGCAGTCTCGAAGATTAACGTGTAAATCAAGAATTAATTTTGACCTCAAAACCTACATTCAGCAAATATAATGTAAAGTAATAATATAGTTCAAATCTGGAAATACAATACTGTCAATGTTCTCGATTGTACTTTAAACAAATGTCTTTGTAATAAATGTCTTTAAGCTAGAATTATTAAATAAATAATATATGTTGTGGCTCTCTCCATACCAAAAAATGTGATAATGGAAAAGGCCTGGCCTTGCTCGAAATTCACATCTGCCCTGTGACCCAAGGGCACTCGTCCCAATTTGGCCAAGGGGTTAACGTGTCAAGCTCACATGCTGCACTGTCACGGTTCGACTCTCGCTGGGCGTTTTGATAAGACCTATGCGGGGTCTAAACTGCAGTCCAGCCTGGACGAGAACAACTTTTTGGAAAGCAAGGCTCTGTGAAATTCACTGGAAACGTCAGCTATACTCATATCATTGTGGGAAAATTCTTCTACCAGTTATTCATCACCTTAAATGAAATAGGGCGAATACATCTCATATAGCTGATTTACTGGTAGTCTCGAAATTATCCTTATATATATATTAATTATTAAATAAAAATAACTAAGGAATCAGAATAAATATAAGGGCAATAATAATATAATTAGCATTAAAAGCAATATTCATCAACAATAATAATACTAATATTATTATCATTATTATTATTCACCAAAATACGCTTTATACAAAATAGGAAATGTTGGAAATAATATAAAAATAGGTAGTACTAATAATGGGCAATAAATAAACAACTACTAAATATTACATTTAAAAAAATTATATTTAATCATTAAAAATATAGGTCTCTTCTGTATTATATGTTCCGGGTTTAAACTAATTGTTCTGTTTTCTGTTAACATTGTTCCTAGTTTGTTCGTTATATTACTTAGGCTCTCTAGATAGACTGCATGACCAAGCAAATTTTGTAAATTTGCTTTTTCTCCATATTGCTAATTTAATATTCAAGCCGTTAAAACCACAAGAAGATGTGCTTTTATAGGCACTTATGTATACGCTCACTAATGCACATGTATGTACACATACACCAAAAGTAAATAAACTTATCTGCACTTATCTAACAACTTTAAATGAGGACTAATAAGCAGATGATTTTTTATTTTGCAGGATTATCCCTTTAGCCAAATTTTGTCATATTAGGACTTGTTTGATGCATGAACACAGACAGGTGTGAAAATATCCCTTAACTCCCGACTCTCCCTTGTCCCATGCCTTTTTCTATACTTTCCAGTCGGCAGGCGACAACGCAGCGCACCGATTCACTTCAGCAAATGTTGAGCAGGTCCGAGCCGACGAAGAACGCCTTGATCTGAGTCTGGTGGTCGCCTGGCTGCGCACTGAACCGTCAGTTATTGTCTGGCTGTCGGTATTGCACAGAGTGGCGTCTACCGAACAAGTGGTGCATCACGCCCGCTGTGGAGTTTGCCATCAGCATCCAATGATTGGTTTCAGGTGAGGCATTTCGAAACAATATAATAAAGATGAATCAAATAACAAAGGCGCTATCATACACAAAGGTGAAAACAACAAAGAAGGAAAGGTATAACAGTATAAAACGAGAAGAGATAAGTGCATGGAGGGTTTAACTAAATAGGGAATACACAAAAGAAGAGGCTAGAAGTAAAAATAAAATAATGTCACAATATAGAACCAATTAAACGGGATTGAAGAAAATGAGGCTGGATGGGGGGGAATAATTGCATTTTGAAATTATAAGGGTTTGGGAAAATCCTAGTCTTATTAGGAGGGAAAAATGTCGCTCAAGCAAGTGCCTACTCGAAACAATGCACATAATGTATAAAAAAATGGACAGTGGGCTACCTTTGAGAGAAGTCTTAAAAGTTTTACACCGATTTTCCGCAATTAAGTAACCAATTTGTATAACAATAAATAAATAAATAATCCTAGGACAGAATAAACTACTTAACATTCGAGGGAACTTTAAAAAGTTTATCTTAACGAGTTGGAAATAAAAAAGGCAGCTTTTAATATGAGATGTC